ATTTCCACGGCCAGGGGGCTGGAGACTTAAATTATACCTCGACAAGCCTGCCGCCCCCCACCCCCCCCCAGCCTACTGAGCCCCCCATGCCGGCACCAGCCCACGCCGGATGGTGGCCCAGGCACCACACTGGTGCTGTGACAATAAATGATAGTGGTTGCAGGGGTTGAAGGAGGAGGTGCCCCCCCCCCCCCCCCCGTGCGACCCAGGGGGGTTAGGCACGACCTTTGCTTATAGCCCTAAGCCTCCGTCTTGCCGTAATGATAGAGGACATTGTTCTCTGCCGGGCGCGTGTTTCGCCAATGTTTGTTTTGAAGAGAAGTACCCAGGTTCGAAGCCTGGGGCTACCTCTCGTCATGGACCACAGCTGTTCCAGGGCGTCCTTGGTGCAAACTTCAGAAGGGACATTCCGAAGAAATCGAGTCAGATCCCTACAGCAAGCAAAAGACATAGCTACCTCACTGCTACGTTAAATACAGTAATTAAAATATCGTCCTTGTTTTTATTGTTATTTTTTTATGGAAAGAATTACAACAGATTTAACGGCAGCTTTCAAATGGCTACACTTTTAACAGTTATTGGCAGAGTACTTTGGGGAGTACTGTTTCCATGGAAACCAAGAGACCTTACTTTCAATAAAATAATTTCCTTTGTAATTTACTCAGTGGAAATATTAAGTGATGGTAAAAATAAAAATGTAATAAAACAACCTCAACCTCCCTGTCTATGTGAGCAACAAAAGTTAATGAAGAGCAGTTTACTTAGTGGGTGCGTTGGGGAAAAAAATACATTTCCTGAAATTTATATAATTTTCACACTTGAAATTAAGAATTTTTCTCAAGCATATAGACATCATACACTGAATTTATTATATGACTTTCTTTTTTGTCAGTCTGGAAAAGTTAGGGAAAATAAAGAATTATGCGGATCATTTTAATATTGATATTGATGTTGAATTGTCACACATAATACTAATTCCTATCCCAGAATAATTTTTTGGCCCTGATAAATTAGCCCCTCCCTGAAGGCGATCTACAGTCTTGAAGGGCAAGAAGGGCAGCTGTGCAGGACATCCGAGGCAGACGGGGGCGCTCCGGCCTTTGTGACGGAACGGGATGTGGGCAGCGGAACCTCAGTCCCACAACTAATCTGACACCTTTCACAAGCACTTAATAATAATAGCAAAAAAAGTGCCGTGATGCATTAGGCGAAGGAACAGCGGAGACTGGGGGCAGCAAAGGGAACTAAGCTGGGGGTGGGGGGTGTAGGGTGGGGGTTGGGGGGTGTAGGGTCATTGAAACGGAAACAAAAATTAACCACAAGCAAAGTGAAGCCAGATCAGATTACTGGCATGCTTTGGCCTCTTTGTGCTAATACTCCAGCAGCGGCAGCCCCCTTTTCATAAGGCGGTTAATTCAGCCCCCCCCCCTCCCGCCCAGCCCGCTCTGCCAGCCCTTATCTCAAGGCAGATAAGGCCTGTCAATTAGCCAACAGTGTAAAGACTGCCTCAGCATCCAATAGTGTCTGTTATCAAAGAGGAAACACTCCGAATGTCACCCATGGCACTGAGCGTATCGTCTCATTAGCGCGTGGGGTCAGAATTACAGCTGCCCACAGAAAACCCAACCTGACAATCGCTGCCGCCTTGCCACCAGGATGTCACTGTATTTTTTAATCGGAAGAGACGCAACAGAGATATTGCGTAAGTTAACAAGAATAATCTGTAGTGTCGTGACTTGGGCTGGCTCATATTTACTCGTCTGCATCTCCCCAAACTCAAAATCAATTCATCCCTCCGCAGTTTAGTAGACGGCAGCAGAATGGAAAGCTGCTGTAATATTCAAAACCATTTACTTATATATAAATCATTAAAATAAATCTACTCCAATAAAGGATGCTGTTAGAACATTCCCCCACCCTGTAATATAAATACAGTTTTATAATTTGAACAGTGTATATGTGAATAATTATATTATACATCATTACTGTATTATACAGCATGACAGTATTAGACAAAATAAGTTGACAAAGTAATGCTGTACAAAGTAATACTTCTAAATTTCAACAAGAAATATGCCTGCCAGACCTGGTAATATGACTCTCTCTGCAAAGATTTACTTTCCCAGAAGATTATTTCAAGAGGTTTATATTAAGAAGTAAATGTCATATTCAATATGTCAGATAAACCATAAGGAATTTATATATAAGGTATTACAATACTTGGGCTTTGAGCTTTGAAAGGAAATATAGGAAACGTCTGTAATGGCAAACCATTTATTTGACTGCCAAAACACATACCTATTGTGTTACAATCTTTTTTCAAAGGTGAATTCCCTGTAAACCGGGATTTAATTACAACGCTTTCAAAATTTTGTAAAATGTCGCCATCTAGTGGAAATTCAGCGCTATTGCTCTAAAAAAAATGCAGTTCACATTTTGAACAATTCCTCTAGTTCTCGTGGAGGGCAGTATTGCCTTCGTTGTTGGGTTGTATTTCTGTTGGACACTGTTTTACATATGGAGCACCATATGTACTATACACTGCTTGTACTATACAAGACTCCAGAACCTATGGACACAGGGCAGGGAATGGACGAGGATGGGGTACCAGCCCATCACAGGGCAGGGAATGACCCAGGATGTGGTACCAGCTCATCACAGGGCAGGGAATGACCCAGGATGGGGTACCAGCTCATCACAGTGACATCAGTATGTTTTTGGACTGTTGGGGGAAACCAGTGCAGCACCCAGAGGAAACCCCACAATGACATGGGGAGATCATGCAAACTCCTTCACATGGAACCCTGGCAGAGACTCGAACCCTAGTCCTAGAGGCGTGAGGCGACAGTGCTAACCACTGTTTAAGTAAGGGGTCCCGCTGCTGAATTAAACAGCAATTAGACCAATTATTATGTTGCATATCCTAAACCAACACACAGGTTACTCAAAAGTAAGAAGATGTAAGGCAGTGCTTCTCACCCCGGGCCTCAGGCACCCGCAGACGCTTCCCCGTTTTGCTCCCTCCCTGCTCCCTGTCTGGGGTCCCTAAGGACTGGGTTGGGAAACACTGATTTAATGGATTATTGACAGGAAAGACAAACGGAAAATTCAGCTAAAACGACACATTCCATGCTGAGATAAACTTGGATTTTCCTATTCTAGCTACTGAAAATGATCAGGGCAGCGTGGTGGAGCTTCATCCTGTTCTCTGCATACAGTGTCACCCCCCCCCGCAGTTAGGAGTGCTGGCATCGAGGTGTATGTAGTTGCTACCATGTCCTGTGATGGTGGCCCTTCTGTGCAGGGTCCCCCCCCCCCCCCCCACCCTGAATGGAGATTGGATGGCAAAATGACCACGCTATGATTTAGCATCTTCTGAACTGACCAATTTTATAGAAATCAATTTTCTTAGTTGCTCAGTCGATTAAATCAAGACTTGCCATGGTTAGATCAGTGATACTGGAGCTCAAACGCTAAGCATGAAAAATGTTGGATCAGACTTATCACATCTCCCAGTCAACACCATCCCAACCACCACAGGCGGCTTTGGCAACACTGGGGGTGCATGTTCTATGTGGGGAAGGAAGCTTCTTGGGACTGCTGGGAATATCACAGCCAAGCTTCAAAGACTTCGAATTCAGCCAGCTGAAGACATCACCCATGACATAAAAATCCATTACAGCAGGGCTATAACCCAAGGCAAATGGCCAGAGTAAATTACTAATAGTCACCAACCATGAGACCCAGTCAAATTCCTGACATGAATTCTGCTGTGAATCTGAGGAAAGACTTTAAGCTGTTGTTCTTAAGAATACCCTGAGCAAGCTAAGGGCTTTCACCTGTAGCGAGCAGTGTGTCACTCAGCGGGTCACGACACTGTGCCTGTTGTCAGAAAGACGCGGGTTCAAATGTCAGGCTCAGTAGAGTGATGTCACCTTGCCCTTATCCCCACCTGCTCCATGAGTGCTGGACACTGGCCAACCCACCACTGTAAGCCGCAGATTTCCCCTGTTTGTGTCTCATGGAGAGCATGATGGGATAGGCGATAAGCAGAACGAGTAAAGGTTCACTCTATGTGCTGGAGGAGAGCTAACAACAGAGGGATCTGTCCAACATGCCCGCTACAATTTGTTTAGCATACTTATTTCTTTATTCTTGTATGTCACTTCATGAGAGACTAATCAGAGAGACAGTAAGCATCCAATGTCAGATGAAATACGCTGCCTGGCCAAAAAAAAAGTTGCCATTTGAATTTTTCGTTGGACCGCCTTTAGCTTCGATTATGGTGCACATTTGTCATGGCATTGTTTCCACAGACTAATGCAACATCTCACCCTTTATTTTCAACCAGATTTGCATTCATTTCTCACTGAGATCCTGTATTTACAAGTGAGTTGAACCACTCCATAAAGCCTCCTTCAGCACATCCCAAAGACCTTCAATGAGGTTAAGGTCACAACTCTGTGGTGACCAAGTCATGCTTGAAAATGATTCCTCATGCTCCCTGAACCACTCTTTGACAATTCGAACCCAATGAATCTTGGCATTCTTGTCCTGGAATATGCCCAGGGAAGAGAAACATCCATTGGTGATGGATGGAGGTGTAACCTGGCCAGTAGATTCAGGTTCTCAGCTGACTTCACTTTATTGCTGCATAACGTTGCTGAGCTGTAATAATGATCCAGTCATTGGCTCTTAAATATTTGCTGATATAAATTCAATTGGTGACTTTTTTTGGCCAGGGAGTGTATTAAGTAGTTTTAGGAAATATGATTTTATTTTGGACAAAATCGGTCACTGCAAGAAAGTCCAGTCAACACATTTTGTGTACAACAGTTTTCTTAGATCTTATTTGCAATGGAAATTTTGGCTTTTATGATTTGTGAAGCAGAGATCAATAATAAAAGGACAATTCTACCATAGGAAATATGGAAAAAAGAAGGTATCGAATTTTGACAAATATTCTATATAGCATTGATGTCGTTATAAAAGTAAAATTCTGAGAACTGAAAATTCTTGTGTTTTATTTTGTATTACTTACAACAAAACTAGGTACTGCAAAACTATACACAATATTTTCACATTCAAGAATGTTTTTTGAAAACAGTACTATACAGTTAAAATTATTAGCTGGTGTACGACAATCCACCCAGTAACAGTGCAGCATGTCTAACTGGAAAACAGCTGACTACGAACATGTTTGCACATAAGCATGATATTGTCAAATCTTTTTCCACAGAGAACTGCTTATCTTGATCTCCATAAAAAAAAACATAAACATGAGCTACAGAATGCACAGAAAATGCACCAATGTAAGATTAAATGCTTTTGGTGTTTAGAGTAAGAGACTTTCTGTAATGTAATAAATACTGACAGTCCATACTGCAGTCTTGAAAAACACTTTTTAAAGCGACAAAAGTGTCACAGGCCTGGCCAAGGCTCACGTGTGAAGTGCAACGGTGAATTATCCATACGAGACAGCTGTAATGGTCCCGGTGTGTTATCAGAAAGACAGCAGAACAAGGATCCGGTGGTCACACAGAGGCCATGATGAAGAAGCCTCCTCAGTCTTATGAATCTCCAGTCATTATGGAAATAAACTCCTCCTGGTTTACTGAAAGAAAAAAAGCCATAAGTAAGTCTAAATAAAATATTCAGCCAAATTAAACAATACTCAAGCGGCAGAAGTTTGTAGTATGTCAACCCAAGTTATTTCCCCTTAGGTTTTAGCATACATAAACAATAAATACAAAAAAAAGATTAGAACCTAGCACTTATAACGCTCCAAATGCTTAATTAAAATGAGACGATTCATGTCCTGTTAACTAAATTTATATGTCGAATCCTAATCCCTGAAATATTAATTCATTAGTGTGGAATGGAAAGTTTTAAATAATAAGTTTTAAATAATAACAACACCGAATTCACGCGAGGAGATTAAGGAAATGAGACTAAGCGCAGATCAGCAGGTTTGTATACGGTGTGGATCCGCATTTGGGTCCCGATCCCGTTCCCGTTCCCGACCGAGTGCCCGTACTCTCCCCGTCCCCGTCCGTGTCGAACTCGTCGATCATGGCTCGCAGCTCCTCGTCCGATATGTTCTCGCCCAGCTCCCTCGCTACCCGCCGCAGGTTTCGCAGGCTGATCTTGCCCGAGTCGTCGTCGTCAAACAGCTTGAAAGCCTTCAGGATCTCCTCCTGAGGATCCCGCTCCAGCATCTTCTCTGCGACTGACCATTATACACACAGCTTATTTTTTATGCCACGAACAGAACCAGGAATAACGGTTTCAAAACGAAGATGGTGGTAATGATTATTATTAATATTAGTAGTAGTAGTCGTAGTAGCGGCAGCATCAGTAACAGCAAAATATTCGGTTTGTAAACCTAACATAAAAGGACACATTTTAATGTGAAGACAACACTTACCAACTTCATTAAAATCATCAAATGTAATTTTTCCGCTTCCTTCCCGATCGTAGTCTTTAAGTATCTTCAGCACATCCGATTTCTTCACATCGAACCCCAAAGCCCTCATTGCGACCTTTAAGGAGGGGGAAGGCATGTCAGACCCCTGAGCGTCCCCGACGCGGAAACGCGCCCGGCGATATGTGCACTAACCTTCAGTTCGTGGTAATCGATCTCTTTGTCTTTGTCAGTGTCAAACAGCTCAAAAGCCTCTTTTATCTCTTGCTTCTGTTCCTCGGTCAGCTCTCTCCTTTTTTTTCTTTTTGTCCTGTCGGCACCAAGCTCAGTCCTAAAAAAAACATGTAACGCGTTCATGCATCTTCATGATGTTATTAATTATGCATATAAAACGTTTATGAATTACTGTTGTTGTTATGCGTGTGACACATTTCACCAGAAAACGTAATTAATTTGGTCCAGGCGGTAGCGTTACAGGTAGGGATTTAACCAGAACTGCTGCTGTAATACATACACGCGTGAATAAAAAACATAAAACAGTCCAGATAATATAAAAACAGCCAAATACTCCCAGCTAGCTAGACTATCGCTTCCCAATATGGCTATTCGTTAAAAAAAATACACGAAACACACCAACACAAATCGAGAACAGATTAGTAAAATTAACATCAACGACCTTTCCATTCAATACTGCTTAAAAACAATGGGTCGTTAAACTGTCTAAACTGAATTTACCTGGCAATTCTTATGGATCTAGCCTATAATGATCCCATTCAGTGTCTAAAAGATAAAAAAGAACAGTTTAGGTTTGTTCGACATGCTTACCTCAATGGCAGGCTCATTGCTTTAACTTTAATTGTTATATACCGGTGAAATCAAGAGAACAGTTCCGGACGATACAGAGAAAAAATAAAACTAAGAATTAGTTTACAGTAAAAAAAAAGTACCCAAGACAACAAAAAACCACAACAAATCCGTTTGCGTTTTGCTTGCGTTGCCGTGTTCGATTGGTTAGAGCGCTTCATCCCGTTATAAGAGGCTGATGGTGATTGGTGAAAATGATTTCACTAAATGCTTTTCCCGGTTGCCATTGGTTGATCCAACGCCGTGACCCAATCCAAATAGTCACAGATGTCACGACGATTGACGGCATACTGCAAAAGTGTTGCAGAACAGGATGTGACGTACACTGCACCCAAAAGGATGGTCTTCTTATTGTGAGGGCTGGATTAAATTAAAATATTTATCTTTTTTATACTACTTAAAAAACATTAAAACATACATCACTATCATTTCTAAAATTAAGTTTCTTTGCCCACCTGGCATTAAGAGAAATGAATATGGGTGAGATTAACTTTGAATCCAATCATTAAAACCTTATTCTTCTATGACAATTCATCCACTTGCCAAAGTGCCATTCATAGTTTTGTAAGGGAAAAATCTTTAATCAAGTCATCATAATATTCTGGCTATCACCATGATTTGCCATATTTTAGAGACGTGTGCATGATCACTATTTAAATTACTGGTAAAATATTGGTATAATTTGTCAGTACTTCTCAACTACTACTAGGTACAGGTAGGTACAGCAATCCCAATGTGTCAGACTTTGCCAAAACATCTTTGGGTCTCACTGTGGCCTCTCTGAACTGCTCCCATGCAGGAACCTTCTATTTTCTGACCACCTGCACTGTAACCCTTCTGATTCATCATTACCATTCAGCTGTCGCAGGGAAACCCTGTGCGAGAAATGCTCTTAAGGCCTTCTTCTTCAGCTTGACAGCTTCCCCGCTACTGGCATCATTCAGCAAGCCCTTGGGTTAGGAGCCAGTTTTCTTTTGCCCACAGATGCTGTATGACCGTGGCTGTAAACGTGTCCCATTCATATACTGTGTCCCCAACGTCACTTGGAAAGTGGGAGCAGTTTTTTAGAGGCGTGAGGTGAATTCATCTTGCACAGAAGCTTCTAATAAACATTCCCAGCAAATTCAGACCGCTCACCTGGGTCTTCCTCATCCCATCTGACCCCGCAGTGCTGATCCAGTGGTAGCTCGACCACTCTTCACCCAAATGTCCATGGTCGTCAAATCAGATTATAAAACTACAAAGTCAATCACTGACATCTGTCTAAGAGCACTCTATGAACATGGCTACTACACTAGTGACCTATTCTTTCCATGCATGCCCCCCAGAAATCGCCACATGTGCATTGAAGTCTCCCAGCAGGATGACAAAGTCTGTAGGAATTATCCTTTGAAGAACATCACCCACTTTGCCCAAGGCTGGCTACTCCAAACTACTCGTCAGTGCAAAAACATTCTCTGCACCTCAAGAGTCTACCTACCAGGAAAATCCAGCTGAACAGCCTGGAACTTGTATCTTCATACCTCCTGCCAGAGGTCTTTCACTGTTTGGGAATTCCAGAGTAAGACAGACTCCGGCCCTAGATGTGGAGGTAAGATCAACTGCATCTATGTCCCGGACCAGAGAAGTACTGATCAACCTACCAAAACCAATGGCCATTGGTCTGGTTGAGATGGGTCCCTTCCCTCTCATACTTCCAATGTAAATGTTCACCTTGTCGGGGGGGGGGGAGGGTGCAGGAAATGATTCATATGTTTTAACATGGAAATTAGTAATCGTAAGAGGTAATTACACAGCTTGAAAGCATGAAATAAAAAGTCTGTAAACCAAAATATTGTCCAATAACAACTAATTTGGATAAAGCATGACAGCATTCATAATTGCTTACTAATTGTGACACATTCATCTAGGTCACACCAAAACAACCACGTTCAAAAAGATGAAAAAGGCAAAAATATGCATAAGTTTCATAAAAAGATCTTTTTGTTCTTAAAGGACTGCTAAGCAATGTGTAGAGCTAAAAGTGAAATCATGCAGTTTATTATAAATATATATCTATATATACACACCTTTTATTCCATTCAAATCCAAACGAACTTGCTATTGAAATCCACAGGGGAAAAGGCACATACTAAAATATAGAAGACATTTACAACCAGAAGCAATTGCTGTTTAAATTACAAATGTAAATGAACTCGTGAATAACAGAATTGTCATCAGATTCACATTTTACAACCATGCCCTTCAAAAGCACTGACCATTAAAATATTGCTGTTAATAATTTTACCGAAAATTTACAAACCAACAAACTAAAATGTTTTGTTGTCCAAAATATACTCCAGAGTACACTCAAAAAAACATCTACACTGACACTAAGTGCATATGGTAAAGGGTTTTCACATGAATAAATTATAGAATTAATAAATTCCTGATATTAACCTACAGGCAGCAATTGGGTGGGGGGTGAGGGGGGGGGGGGGCTGAACACATCTTTTGTCCACCATAAAATGTAGGCAATTTAAGAAAGTAAGTGGAATGTCCAGATTTTCCACTCATATTCCTCAACCTCCATTTTCTCAGAGAACTCACTAGTGTTTCCCAGTTTGATCACATGTGCAGACAGCAAAAAGATTACGTTTCCGACTAAGATTGCACTGAAACATTTTGGACTCCCTGCAGTGGGCTAGGTGTCCTCTTTGCCGTGGCCATTGAAAGAGGTGGACCACAAGCAGCTTGCTCATCAGTCATCGAGGGTTCCTCCTTGCCAGCTATGTGAGCTTGGTGTTCGACTGTGGCTGCTGGGCCTCTGTGCTGGCATGATGGCTAACGTCATCCTTCATTAACACCTCATAGTAGAGTAGATAGAAGACCGGCGTGACGATGCCAACCACCAACATTATGGCCACCGCCATCCACCACCTAAGCCCCCAGTCGGCCCCATAATAGGGGTCCTTCCTTGGGGCTGGTCGGCGCTCGGCCTCGCCCAGAAGGTGCTGTGAGCTCAGGGAAGAGACGACCTCATTCAAGCTCCCCCGGGCTGGGTCCGTGGACTTCACCAGCTGCTCTATGTCCTTGTCTTTCTCCTGCAGGAAGCTGCACACACTGTCTGTAGATGAGGTGGAGGATGATGATGAGCACCTAGAGGAAGGACAGTCGGCCCCGGCATCCAAATGAGGTTCCTCGTGGAGCTGGGAAGCCAGGCCATGGGTCTCAGTCAGGATGCTGAACCTCTTCACCGGAATCTTGATGGTACGCAGGGCGAAAAAATCCTGCTCTGTCAGAAGATTGTTGGCCCTTTTAATGTCTGCAACCTGTGAGATATTCAAGAGCAACATATCATTTAGTCAAATATGCATTTTAACATAGCATTTCGATAAACACACTCCTAAAGGAAATGCACTCGGCACTTACACACAAAGTAACATTTTTGCTCTACAAAATGCTGATGTATCAAGAAGTGCGCATTTGAACAGCAGGAGTACAGGGAGTAATTCCTTCCCATCTGATTTACGACTTAAGTACAAGATAGAAGATCTGCCACATTGTTTACACAGAGGCTACGCTTGCCTATCCCTGACCCGTTTCCAGCTCTGCAGCAGAAATATTGACAGTAACAACAAAAAAAATAATATCAATATCAAATGTTTAATTAAAAATGTATGGCGATCAGTTTCTCTTTCCAGAGGCACATCAGTGACACATGCTGCATTGACGTCACTGTTATGATGTCTATTGAGTTCATTTACTTGATTTAACAGACATTTAATGATGGACAGAGTGTGAGCGACTGTATTACCGAGCAGAAATACTGTAGAGATATGGCATTCAAAGTGTCGCCCTCCTTGATGTCACGAACTAGGTAAACAATGTCATCCATCCTGTCTCTCGATGTGCTCCGCTTCAACCTCTCCTTCCCCCTGGGTCTGAGCTCGAAGGATTCCCCATCTTCTTCAGAAAACTCATTTTCTGAGACAAGACTGTTCCCAAAAGTGTACGTATGCCCTCCGTTGGAAGACTGTGCCATTGTGGCTGCATGGTAACCTGTATGTTGGCTTTTTCCTGTCATTTTCTGCCACTCTACGGAGGGAAAACATACATCTTTATACACACACACACACACACACACACACACACACACACACAATGTAAGGTATTGTAACTATAAAAAATATGGAGTTAGTTTAAAGAGGTGTAAATCTCATTAATAGAACTTTCACAACTCCAAGTTAAAAATCAGCAGATCCACTTTGTGTTCTCCTTGTCATGTGCACACCTGGTGTATCATATTGTTAGATGCACCTGTTTATCCAGTTCAAGAGAATAAAATATGAACTTTAATGATACCTGGGAGAAATACTACTGCATACAGCAGCAAGGTTCATGAAGTGCAAACAAACATGCAGCACAACAAAAGACAAACTTACAAGGACACATAGTGCAAAAGAATTTAAAAGACTACGGGGAACACAAACAGAACACCCTAAATAATATTAAAGGAATTAGTATAAAAAAACAAAACGTATGCCATTGTGCATGTGTGTGTAATATGCACAATATGCAAACAGACGGCACTGCATTCCTGGCATCTTATAGGTGAATGCGAGGGAGAAGCTGGAAGGAGTATTTTACTGAAACAATTAAAATATACAACTAAAAATAGGTTATAGGTCATTCACGAAAATTTACCTTGAATAAAAGTGAACAGACCAAAAACAACCAAGAAAAGTATCATCTTTGAGAAATCATATTTTTAAACCAACTTTCTTGATGTGTTTTTGCGATACAAGGTACGACTTACCTGGCTATGGCAGCCGACGACTGAAGAGAATATATAGCATTTAGAAACCTTTAAGAAAGCAATTAAAACCACGTTTAGTTTATTTAAAAATGAGCTTCACTGACAGATGATGGAGACGCCACAAAATACCTGACCTCAGACGTAATACACTACACTACTTTTGAAAAAAACCATGACTGTCCAAGTACAATAGTTCAATACTATGAAACAGCTAAAAAATACACCATGGCGATCAACTGACGCCTGGTTTTAACCCATCGTCCTGTCCCACATTCTGCGATCCAGCGACTTGTCGCAGGGTGACCCAACTCATCCAGCTACCGGTTTCTGTCATCGGTACTCGGGTGTGCTACATATATGTCTCTGCCACACATTTATTAGCATTTCTCTGAATTTTCAAACAACTTGGAAACACCGGAGTTGCGTCACACGAAACTCAACTCAAGCGTTTTGGACAGGAACGGTAACCTGACAACAGACACAAAAGTCCTGAAACAAATTTCCCTCAGAGAACCCTTACGACCTTTCTACTCCCAGCACAGAAACAAGAAACACCTACAACCGAGTCAGACACTAACTCGTCAGGTGAAGCTATTTACCTGAAACGCACAAAAACGTCGGCTGCTCCTCGTACCGGACCCGCGTATGTTTGTTTAGCTACGCCACGTCGGCACTCTGCTGGCGTCATGACGTCACTTCCCGTGGTGCCGCAGTCGCTTCGGCAGCGTTGTTCTTTTTAAAGGGTATTTTCGCGCCGTTTGTTCTCTATTTCCCCGGCTATCATGCCTACGGAACTGCGACAACCGATAGGCGTTCACTATAGTCGCCAGGGGGAGCCATTGCACAATTTATATGTTCAAAAGCACTGAGTGCTTTACAAATTTTGTGTACACGATGAAAAGTTACAAGAAAACCATTAGGGCATTTATGTAGAATTATAAAATAAGCTAAAACACGTTATTAAATAGTAATACAATATGGTAGTTTATGGTATATCAACAGCTATTTTGAGTGTAATAATACAGGAACTTCTTGATTAAAGAAGCTATAGGCCTATACGAGTTTGTACACTATGTACAAGTAATTCGAAAGCATGCAAGTTATTTTTGTCTCTGGGTTTGGTCCAAGATCTTGTGCCTTGGCAGCAGTTGATAGTATTTGCCCTTTAAATGGCCACACTAATCGAACAAAAGATTTGCAGCGTGCTGAGTGTGTAGATGGGTCCCCTGAGATGGCTGAAAGGTATGGACAGGCCAGAAAGGCTGCAACCGAGGCATGCAGTTGTGGAGAGGAAAGGTTGTGCATGGAAGAAGTTTGGAGAGGCCATGGGGAGAGGCTATTGGGTGGCCCCAAGGCTGATTTAGCAAGCCATTCAAGGTCTCAGGAGAGGGAGCCAGGACCTTACTCAGCCAGGATGTGGAAGTGTAAACCAAATCTGAAGATATGGTCAAACAACAGGAGGAACTTCTTAACTTTTACATGTGTTCAGAAGAACACAATGAAATTCTTATGCCTCAGTTGCAGATAAGTGGTAAGAGGGCTAAAGGTAACATCGCTTTGGATCAAGACAAGCCAGCTGAGGTGGATCCGGCATTTTACCGGGTCAGCTGTTCTGGATACTTCCTCCTGAGCGGAGGCTCATGCCACAGACCTGGAGGGTCTCCCAGCTGGCTTTGGAATTTGTGGGGATTCCTTCTGTGGCCTCAGACTGGGAGGTCTGGTCTGATCTGCTTGGTGCACAATAACCACAACCCTCACCAGGGAATTGAAGGACGTGGAGTAGACGAAGAAGAAAATTGGATAGATTGATGAGGGTGCTAACAGTTTTCCTCAGCAACAGGCAAAGTGTTTTTCCCTCTGATCCTCTTAGATGGGCAGTGCATCAGAGTTCTGTCCAAACACCACAAACACTAATAAATGAAATGAAATGAAATGGTTTTAATCAATGGCGATGTGATTAACTAGCTTCTGTAGGTCTGAAAAGTCTGGGTCTGCTCCTCTGTCTTCCAGAAATGGCATCCGATTTATTTATGACACTTATTTTCACAGCTGTTAACTATTAATTATGTTGGATGAGAGCAGCATAGTTAATGCAGGTGGCTAGTGGCAGAACAAACACATTTGTTTATATTAACCAGTCCTTCTGTATGACATTCTCTGCTTAAACCCCAAGCAGGAGGTCTGATTATGATGGATACATAGTAGCAGCCTAGAGAAACTTTGGTTTGTTAGATGATAGTTGTTAGATGATTAGTTGTTAGAATCAGTTGCAGCTCAACATCTGCAAGACAAAAGAAATGGTGGTGGACCAGAGAAGATCACAGCCTCCTGTCACTTCTCTGTCCATCAGGGGGGAAGATGTGGAGATTGTTCAGGAATATCTGGGTCTTCACATAGACAGTAAACTGGACTGGTTCTAAGCTCTCACTGGCCACCTACAGGAAAGGTCAAAGTAGGATGTATTTCCTACGGAGTCTGTAACACCATGTTGCGGATGTTCTACGAGTCTGTGGTCGCCAGTGTCATTTTCTACGCTGTAGTGTGTTGGGGAGGCAGCATGAAAGTGGCTGATGCTAAAAGACTGAACAAGCTGATCAGGAAGGCAGGCTCTGTGGTGGGTGGGGAACTTGATTCTTTAGAGACTGTAACCGAAAGTAAACAAACTTTGTCCAGACTTAGGGCCATCATAGAGAACACCGGCCACCCGCTGCACAGCGTGGCGACTGAGCTGAAGAGCACCTTCAATCTCAGGCTCACCAGGGTGAAGTGCTCCACCGAACGCCACAGAAAATCCTTCCTCCCCACCCAACCAGACTCTACAACTCCTCCCTCCGTCACTCGTCCTCGCAATTATGTGCTTAGTAACTTACTGCTGCTACAATTACAAACAGTCCAATAACCGAGGTGCATATACTTCAATAACCGAGGTGCAATGCCTTAGCTGATGACAATTTACAGATTCAACAGAACTATCTATGATACAGTGCAATATATGTTAATCTTATTTTATACAAACGTCTACCTACTGGCGTCTACCCACATGTGCAATAGAACGACGATTATACAGTGCAATATACTTATACTTCACATACTGCTCATTCTACTCAACTATTAACATGTGCAATAGAATCATTCACTACAATGTGCAATATAGTCAAGTTACATTTACAATAAATCTTTACAGTCACTTATTTATGAGGTAACATAGTACTTTATCCTACTGTACTTATAGAATTTTTATTATAGTGCTTAATTTAATTCAGCTATACCAATCTTTGTACTTCATTGTATTGTTCTGCAGTTGTAATGTAAGCAATTTCCTTCGGGATTAATAAAGTTTTCCGATTCCGATTCTTACTGTCATCATACAGGTAGCAAGTTCAATGAGTACAATTTGCATGTTGCATTTTCCTTCCCCATAAAATACTGCACACCTATACAGGTGAGAGCAGAGGTTGGGGTCACGGGGCAGGGCCTTCACCCTTTGGGGTTAGGGGCCTTGCTCAAGGGTGATATTTTTGGTTGCTGCTGGATTCGATATGGCCAATAGGCGTAGGAACTGAGGCAGGACCGGGGAGACATTTACCCCCCCGATATTTAATTTGGCTTAATTTTCTCCCCTATAAATAGACCTTATTCCCATCTCCCAGGCAAGGACTGGCTATCAGGTAGATCCAAAATGTCCTTCCCCAACCCATGGGGTTATATAGCCTATATACTGGGGCACACAACTCACTGGCTTGTTTTCGGGTGAATCCAGATGATCAATCGATGGTTAACTGGTTCACAATACCACACCCCCCCCCCCCCCCCCCCCCCCCCCCCCCCCCCCCCCCCCCCCCCCACACACACACACACACAGAACCCCCCTCCCCGGTCAGCGGCAAATTCCTGAGCTGCTATTTGTTGCCAGTCCACCCCTACACCGTTGGATATAGCAACATCCCGGATACAGCGACAGTCCCCTAACACTGACCCCGGTAGGTGGTTAAAAGAAGCATATGTTTACGGGCTCATATCCTTTCAAAGATAGCTACTGTTACATAAATAAAGCATGGGACGTGAATAGATTCAGTAAACACCTAAGAATAAGACATACCCTAAAATGGGTCAGAGTGCCGAAAGGTCCAAAGGTGTAAAGCAATGTAAACATGCAAATTATGAAATGTCAAAACCTGCTGGATAAGGAGAGCAATGCTAGGAATTGTTCTTCTGTCCTATTTGGTCACCCTGGGTTAGACAGCTGCTGTGTCAGAGGGAGTAAAAAGGGACGTGAGCAGTGTTATCAGGACCTGACCTGGGATTTCGGTTACAAAATAACATCCAGAATCCCCGTCTGTCTCCTGCTGAGATTTATGGCAAACCCTGTTCTTCCAGCATTGAGCAATATCCAGTGCCAGGTAAACACAGCAAAATGTACACTGTTAAAATGACTTTCGATTTCACAACCTGTGGAATCACCGGCGCAAATGACATCCTGTCCCACAATAAAGCTGTTTATTTCACTTTCTTCGGTATTTGACTTTGTGACACCATGACTCCTTGCCAACTTTAAGCGAAACCCTCTGTTGTTTGTAGCGCCTTGGGCTGTGTCCTGCTATCGCCTCCCTTCTAAGGGGAGATTATATACAGGTGGGTTGATATGTAAGAACGGACTTCTGATGAATTTTCATTCCCAGCGAGTGAGGAAGCTGGCTGGGACGGGGTCATTATGAATCAACAATCATCTAGCTTTTACCTTTGTTATTACAAATGCCAAATAAGGGAAGTATTGTGTTCTGAGCAGTATATATGTCTGCCATCCAGTTTGCAGGTCTTGCATCTCAGTTCAAAGACTGAAGCACTTCGTTCTATTTTTAGCATAATTACATTTTTTAAAGGTCCCCTAACAGCCAGACCCTTTTGTAGTTAAGAACAGTGGCAGAGTTTCTGTTTAAAGTTCCTGCAACTCAACAAGCAATGTTTCATTATGCTGAAAATACAAAGGTTGTGAGTTTAAATCCCCGTAAGCATGTATAAATAGCAACCTTTCCCTCTAGTATAAGTTGAATTGCATAAAAGCATCAGAGAAAATGATTAATTGTGAAGATGTCGATTTAATTGATGTTCATCGAATCCAGCATAAATAGGAAATGTGGCATTTATCTGTAATTGTAAGGCTACCAGTTCAGGTCAATGTTAAGTTTAAAAGTTTCAAGAAAAAGTGTTTAACTGGTTATGGGTAATATTTGTATGTTTCTTCAGATAAAGGCATGATAGATAGCCACAAATATAGACAGGGATTTGCTCTGATGATTTAGCACTTTATTTAAAACCTGAATCTTGAAACTGATGATGCACTTTGCTTTGTGTGACAATATGCACTTGTTGGGCTCTGCTGTCTAAACGTTCTTGTTGGACTTGGTCACTGGGGCGCATCTGAATTGTTCCTTACTTTACTTAGCCTATGTGGATTTATAATAATGAGGCTTCAAACCCATGCGGTGAGTTAAAGTACAACTAGGCGCGTTGTACTATCGTCTCATATTGAGCATATTAAGGGAGCACCGCGAATCCGTCTGAAAGCTCTGTTGTTCCCAGATTCCATGTCAGAAACCGCTGCTCTAACCCAAACCCTAGCAACACATGGCAACCCACGCTTCGCCTTTGGCCTCAGGTGCTTCCACACAGGAGCAGTGAGAGAGCGCCAAAGTAAACAGCGCCTCGCCGGGCAAGCC